AGAAAGGACAGTATTTGTGTCGTTATTTCTTCAAGGAAAATCATTGTAGAAATTTTGTTCTTGTGTCAAAAGACACGTGTAATAACAGAGAATGCCAGGTCATCGTAAACGGAGGCAGTTCAAGCAGACAGACGCTTTTACGAGGGGCATGGTGATCGGACTGAAAAGGGCAGGTTGGTCCATACGTCAAATCGCAGCTGATACACACCTTGGTGCGTCCACGGTGCACCGACTGTGGAGAAGATGGTTGGAACAAGGAAATGTGGCAATTTATAGGAATGTCGGTGCAACCAGAGTGACGTCAGCACGTGTGGATCGGCGTATCCTTCGACAAGCAGTGGCGGCCCCACAAGCCACTTGTACCGCCATCCTGCAACATGTGCAAGACACCCTAGATCATTCCATCTCGACCAGAACCATTTCCCGTCGATTGGTTGCTAATGGCTTGCACTCATGCCGTCCGCTAAGAAGACTGCCATTGACCCCACCGAATAGGCGCCAACGTTTGGAATGGTGCCGGGCTAGATCGACGTGGATGACGGAATGGCACAGGGTCGTGTTCTCAGATGAGTCGCGTTTCTGCTTGTCCAGTGATAGTCACCGTGTACGCGTGTGGCGTCGACGTGGAGAAAGGTCCAATCCGGCAGCAATTGTGGAACGCCCCACCGTGCGACAACGTGGAATCATGGTTTGGGGGCGCAATCGCGTATGATTCCAGGTCACCTTTACTTCGTATTCAGGGCACTATGACGGCCCAACGATACGTTGATGATGTGCTGCGACCGGTGACACTCCCCTACCTTCAGGGGGTACCCAATGCCCTTTATCAGCAGGATAACGCCCGACCGCACACTGCTCGCATTAGCCAACAAGCTCTGCAAGATGTACAGATGCTTCCCTGGCCACCGTACTCTCCTGATCTCTCACCAATCGTGCACGTCTGGGACATCATTGGACGCCGTTTGCATGCCTTGCCACAGCCGCGTTCAGAAGACGAACTGTGGCAAATGGTTGAGAGGGAATGGAGAGCCATCCCTCAGGACGCCATCCGTACTCTGATTGACTCTCTACCTAGACGTGTTGCTGCGTGCATCGCCGTCCGCGGTGGTCCTACATGCTACTAAGCCGACGCCGTTCTGCTCTGTATTATGACTATCATTTTGAAATAAAGATCACTTATTGTTCGTCCCTGTCTCTCTCTGTCTGCCGAGTTTCATCACTTTCTGGCCACTATTTCTTGGTGTTCCATTTTCAATGTCACGCAGTGTATTTTAGAATTGTTGAGATTATGCTATGGTAATGCAGTCGTGGTTAAAAATCTTGAAATAAAAATAATAATGGTTTTTATCAGAGAGGTTGCTTTAATTGAGCTAAGGAATGTATAAAAGACATAATTTGGTAAAAGTACTGCCTAGCTTAAGGCGTAAGAATAAAAAATGAAAAGCTTATTTATTTATTTTATTTATTTCACCTCAATTTGCAGGTGTTACATTCGAGCATAGCTCGCGAGTCACCTTGTCCAGATTATTTACACATGGCGAGTTGTAATGCTGGAGTGGCCCCCCGAACCTTACAGGAGGGCAAAAAGCTTATTTACATAATGTACAAATGTTTTGAGCCGGCCATCGGGGAAGAACAACAACGAGTTTTTATAGGGGAAGCATGACCTCTGGCGGTCGATTTAACAGAGTATTTGGATCTATGAAATATAATTTTAAATAGAATATTTTTTTTATTTAACATACACTGCGTGACATTGAAAATGGAACACCAAGAAATAGTGGCCAGAAAGTGATGAAACTCGGCAGACAGAGAGAGACAGGGACGGACAATAAGTGATCTTTATTTCAAAATGATAGTCATAATACAGAGCGAGAACGGCGTCGGCTTAGTAGCAAGTAGGACCACCGCGGACGGCGATGCACGCAGCAACACGTCTAGGTAGAGAGTCAATCAGAGTACGGATGGCGTCCTGAGGGATGGCTCTCCATTCCCTCTCAACCATTTGCCACAGTTCGTCTTCTGAACGCGGCTGTGGCAAGGCATGCAAACGGCGTCCAATGATGTCCCAGACGTACTCGATTGGTGAGAGTTCAGGAGAGTACGGTGGCCAGGGAAGCATCTGTACATCTTGCAGAGCTTGTTGGCTAATGCGAGCAGTGTGCGGTCGGGCGTTATCCTGCTGATAAAGGGCATTGGGTACCCCCTGAAGGTAGGGGAGTGTCACCGGTCGCAGCACATCATCAACGTATCGTTGGGCCGTCATAGTGCCCTGAATACGAAGTAGAGGTGACCTGGAATCATACGCGATTGCGCCCCAAACCATGATTCCACGTTGTCGCACGGTGGGGCGTTCCACAATTGCTGCCGGATTGGACCTTTCTCCACGTCGACGCCACACGCGTACACGGCGACTATCACTGGACAAGCAGAAACGCGACTCATCTGAGAACACGACCCTGTGCCATTCCGTCATCCACGTCGATCTAGCCCGGCACCATTCCAAACGCTGGCGCCTATTCGGTGGGGTCAATGGCAGTCTTCTTAGCGGACGGCATGAGTGCAAGCCATTAGCAACCAATCGACGGGAAATGGTTCTGGTCGAGATGGAATGATCTAGGGTGTCTTGCACATGTTGCAGAATGGCGGTACAAGTGGCTTGTGGGGCCGCCACTGCTTGTCGAAGGATACGCCGATCCACACGTGCTGACGTCACTCTGGTTGCACCGACATTCCTATAAATTGCCACATTTCCTTGTTCCAACCATCTTCTCCACAGTCGGTGCACCGTGGACGCACCAAGGTGTGTATCAGCTGCGATTTGACGTATGGACCAACCTGCCCTTTTCAGTCCGATCACCATGCCCCTCGTAAAAGCGTCTGTCTGCTTGAACTGCCTCCGTTTACGATGACCTGGCATTCTCTGTTATTACACGTGTCTTTTGACACAAGAACAAAATTTCTACAATGATTTTCCTTGAAGAAATAACGACACGAATACTGTCCTTTCTGCAAGTTCCTTCCCTTATATCTTACTCCATGTGCGCACGAGAGCTGCGCATTTTACATCATTTGCATAACTCGGTTAGGCGCGTCTACCCTGAAATTTGCATAATTTTCTGGCCACTATTTCTTGGTGTTCCATTTTCAATGTCACGCAGTGTATATATATTGGGAGAGATTAGCGCTGTGGTGTAGTATGCGTTCGTCTGGGAGATCTAAACCTTTTGGAAAAGTTGCCAAAACACAGGGAGTCAGTGGACAAGGGGTATAGATCGTCAATTCCGACATCCATGACCAGGAATGCAATATGGAAGCAAGTTGAATAAAATCTTTTAAATAGGCCCAATGTGAGATTGGATCCCTGTGTCTGTCGAAAATTGACGAAAAGAATTGAAGTTCTTGTAGAATGGACATGGAGAAAGCTATTCAGAGTCATGGATAGAAAAAGGACAAATATTTCAATCTTGAATATATTAGGGCTGGTAGATCCCTATAATCCTAAATATGTGAACAGACTGACCTACTGTGGACACATAATGAGAGGAAATGGATTGGAAAAGATGTTGGGAAAAATTGAAGGAAGATTAAGAAGGTAGAGAGATTGACTTGCAATGGGCTGGCTGAAAGAGGTCATGGAAACTTCTGGGAAGGTCACTAGAGAGTGATGGTTACTAAGACTTCTGCTGGACCGTGACGGCGGGCGGCTAACTTCGGCAACACCGGAGCTGACGTCACACCCGTACTTTCTGTTTTTGTATCCTGCATCGGCGTAGCCGCGCTGACTCATATTTTTCTTTCCCCATGATTACCATTTCATCAATATATATAATCCTTTCACCTTGTTGTAGTTAATTAAAGAATAATTAACGTTAAGCGCTGTGTGTGTGTAATCAAATTGAAATACAACAACTTCAAATTGAAGAATAGTTGTCCATTTAGTCACCAATGATGGTCATTAGCAACAAAATAATATTTATCTACAGTTTAACCTCACTATAAAACCATCAATTGGGACAAAGATTTTATGTTGTGACAACCATGGTGTTATAACCACAGTTAGAGCACAATTGGGACTTGAAACTTATAACTCTGTTGTTGATTCTTATCCCCTTGTGTACAAAGACTGCACAAATTATATGAGTCTGTAGGGAATCATATCATTTTATTTCTTATAATTTTAAATCGTATTATTTTTATTTCATATAATTTTATTTCTTATTATTTTAAATCAATTAATTGTAAATACTAAAATAAAAAACAACAGCTTAATTCTAAAAAATATTATCATCATCAATTCTCATGTTATTGTTGTAGACGAAGAACACGCTTGTTTTCGTATAAAAACGATAATAAAATTACTAGCTGAATTTAAAGTGATTTAGTAATTAATTCTTGAATTATAAATATATTGTAACACGCCTGCAGCCGCCCCAACAAGTCCATGCTCCTCAAACACTTGGGACTATAGAATTAAGATGTTATAACAATAAGTTGCTGTTATAAAAGAGGCTGATCTGACAAGGTTCCATTGTGTTTGGTTTTGTTACCGTGTGGAATACTTTCCCTCTTTAAGTGTTGAAGTAAAAACACATGATGGTTTATCTTTCATTCTTGTGTTTTACTTTCCAATTTCTATTGTAAGAGATGAAAGCATTAAAGCATAAATGTTTCTTTTTCACACAAATCAAACTTCTATTATCCTTACTGCGATATTGGAAGACTTGGTTCATCAGTGTTGAACCCTCCCAGCAGTTTCGCCAATTTTATCTACCAGACCGCTTCTTAGAGCTCTAATATTGTATTAGGCAATTAAGCTTCTAATACAATATAATATAATGCGGCTTATGATTGTAAAACGACATTTGAAATACTATCCCGCATGTGTTTCTTTTCAGCGAAAAATCAAAATTTATTTCAAGGAGAAATAATGATTATTTCTAACCTTTTGGATGAGGTATGAAAGGGTGAATTGTGAAGAGTAATGATAAACGGAAAAATAAAAGTGTCCAGGGATGGGAATCGAACCCACAGTGTTCCGCTTACCGGGCAGATGCCATGTCCACTAGGCTTGATTTTTCGTTGAAAAGAAACACATGCGGGATAGTATTTCAAATGTCGTTTTACAATTAAGCTTATATACGCTGCACTGAAGGATGGAAACTCAGAAATGTTATTTAGTCAAACTCTTTATGGACATAATCTGATAGACAGTAGAATTACATATAAATATTTGAATCAAGCAATGTTCTTCCGCAAACAATAAGGACGAGGTCAGTTAGGCGGAGAATAATATTGTAGCGTAGAAATCAAGTCTTTGTATATCTGAAGGTGTGAAAGTATTTATTGATGACGTCACAGAGACTAATCAACCAAACTATCTACAGCTAGAGAATCTTGAACAAGCAAGCAAAGAAATATTTTTAATATATATCTCTATATATAACGATGGAATTTTGTACTTTACTGAAGTGTGATGTGTGCACAGCGTGTTTTGGTGTTGGTACTGTGCGGGTTACTGGTGACAGTGGACACGGTCCAATATACCTGTCCACCAGAGAATTTAGTCCTGCCGTGTACCTGCGACAGCGAAGGCATCAACTGCAAGAAGGTTGGAGATGACCAAGGCCTCAAAACTGCCCTCGATAGAATCGGAGGTGGCAGTTACCGTGGATTCTGGGTACAGAACGCCAACCTACGTGTTCTCAGAGCCAACATGTTCCAAGGATACAAGATCGGTAACTTCTACCTGGAAGTTAACAACATTACTGAGGTACAGCATGGCACTTTCAATGGCTCGGAGGATGTCGTCCAGGGTATCAGCATCTTCGGAAACAAGTTGACGACCTTCCCCTTCACTGATCTGAAGACGATGAAGTTCCTGATGGGGATCAACATCGGTCGCAACCAGATCACAGACATCCCAGCTTTCGCCCTTTCTGATCACCCGCGACTCTCAACCATAATCCTGGCGGAGAATCAGATCAACAGCATTGGCATCAATGCCTTCCAGAATCTGCCCATGCTCCAGAGGCTGGATCTCACCAAGAATGCCCTGACGGTTCTTGGAAGATATTCCCTCAATATCAACATGCACCATCCTGCATTGCAGGTAAGGACCTCCTCAACCTTTTCTTTCATAATTTCTTTGAAACGATATTTGAAAAATAAACTCATGGACAAAACTTAAGGAAGTTGTACCTTTTAGCATGTATATCGGGGTTCAGACAATAACTCTGAAGATGCACTCATGGACAAAACTTAAGGAAGTTGTACCTTTCAGCATGTATATCGGGATTCAGACAATGACTCTGAAGGATACACTCATGGACAAAACTTAAGGAAGATGTACCTTTTAGCATGTATATCAGGATTAAGACAATAACTCTGAAAGATAGACTCATGGACAAAACTTAAGTAAGATGTACCCTTTTAGCATGTATATCTGGATTCAGACAAAGTTATTACAGTGGCCTTTATTGAAGACAAACGAGATAACCAAGTGGGAACAAAATTCCCTCTGTTTCCATAAAAAAAAAAAGACAACCAGCCACCACAAAGACATTCCACTTTTTAAAGTTTTGTCCATGAGAATATATTTTTTAGTTAGAATAATAAATTATTATTAATAGGTAATCCCATAATATTATGTTCAAATCAATAAGCTTGAGGGATAAGTCTCTTTTAAATACATTTATTTCAAGCTTTCGGGCTCAACCGCCCTTCGACAGGAAAAATTATATTAGCTACTAAAGTTTTCGGATCTAATCTATATACACGGGCGTCTCACAAATGTATATATAGATTAGATCCGAAAACTTTAGTAGCTAATATAATTTTTCCTGTCGAAGGGCGGTTGAGTCCGAAAGCTTGAAATAAATGTATTTAAAAGAGACTTATCCCTCAAGCTTATTGATTTGAACAGAATAATAAATTATCTGAAGAATTTATGTTTATATTTTAAATAATTCGAAAGTTTGAGATATGTGTGTGGAACAAATGGGACTCGAGGATATTCTTAAATATTTTATAACTTTTATTGTTAATGAGACGAACATATATCTTTCTTACTTGCATATTTGAGTGCTATAACAACACGTCCTGTCACCTTTCTTAAGTAAAGTTTGATAATATATGTCCATAGTGTGTTCCTTTAAAATACCTTCTCCAAAAGGTCAACTTCAGTATCACTATGAAAGCAAACCAGCTCGATGTAATATAACAGCGGTGAAACCGCTGGGAGGGTTCACCACTGAACCCTCAACTTTCACCACCCTCAAACACATAAACTCCGCCTTTGCCGGTCCCAAGCCCGGATGAAAAAGGAGGAGGGGGAGCAGTAACAAGCTCACTAAAAACCTGGGCTCATCTGGCCCGACTGATAGTACCCTGTAAGGGCTCCTAATCCAAGGATACAGGATGAACAGCGTTTTTACTCCATGTTAGGAGCGGCTGTACATGGTGTCTGTTCCTCATGTCAGAGGCGGCCATTTCTTTTGGAGCTAAGTCGGCCTGCCACTGAGTAGTGCTCTCAGTCTTAATAACAAAGGCAGATGCATTCTACTTCACCCAGTCATGATGGTTATCAAACAGACACCATCAAGGGCAACAACTTGATACCCTAATATGATTGAGTGGAGATAAGAAAGAAGAAGACCACTGATGAGCCAGATCCTCCCATTAATTTATCATTGCAGTAAGGGCAGTAGAAAATTATTTTATTTATAAAAAAGAATCCTACGTATAAAAATATTTCCAATTTCTTATACATTTATTTATTTATTACAAAAAGTACACGCTATATCCTATAAGGATATTTTCATGTAAAGATTCAAACTATTTTAATCATTTTGATAATGTTTTCTTATTCACACACATACACACAAAAACCTTTATTAAGACACACAGGTCTTACAGAGGATTCTCCCTGGGGTTACAAGACGGAGAAACCTATGAAAGTGGGAAATATACAAAGGGGTAAAAATGGAGAAAGATTATATACACATGGTAAATATATACAGATTATTATTTGAATGATCCTATGGAAAATAAGAATATGGATTTGGAAAAAAAATTGGAAATATGAATGGAAGAAGTGGAGAGCGAAAAGAGAAAAAAACAGGTATTTACATATGGAACATACATATAATGGAACAAGTCAATTTAAGCTCTTCTGCTCACACAGCACAGGTGGACCATGGCTTTTTTCAAGAAATCTTTAAGAGATTTTCCAGGAAAATCCGAGTAATGTTTTCTTATTGTCAATTTATGATATTTCTGATGACAAAAGTAAACTTTTACATGTTAACACACAAAGTGCAATGAAAGTAACTTAACACACAGAAAAGCGTACACCCAAGAGTACAATAACAACAATAAAAGGGATTTAAATAAAAACTCACGATTTGCTAAAAAAATCAAAACAGTACTTATCTTTTATGTATTGAATAGGTAATTAATCTTCGTGTAAGTAGCATGGTAATATTTGAAATTTTCCAATTTGCAGTAATTCCATGCACTTTTATACGTTCTTGTTGAATTTTTCGAAGAATTAGAATTATTCCAAAATATTTCAGGTCTTGATTGTTATTCTTTGAATGCCTTTTTTGATAGCAATATCAAACAAAAAAGTACTTATCGTTTATGTAGCGTTGGTAGGGATCGGACCGGGGTTACACAGGTATGCGAGGAGATCACCAGACACGGATAAAATACGCAGAGAACACTTTGTCTCCACTCAATAATCCACCACACTCCGGGCTCCTCGCAATCCCTTAGCCTCCTCTTATATACAAACATGGCCACATTCGTCCAATGAGAAGGCGTGAGAGATCGGTTCACTTAACAAACAAAAACAACATTGCTCCTACTAAAAAATGAGATAAGATAAAACTGCTTATGTTTGTCAATATAACTGGGAGTATTCCAGCTGAGTCTGGCGATGAACCGAATCTCCAGAGTGGACCAGGATGCCATTTCCCTCATTCTGACTCCCACGCTGTTCCGCCTTGATAACAACAACCTTTCCTCACTGCCCCCCGCCATCTTTACCCCCCTGGTGGGGCGGATGTCGATTGCCGGAGGCACCCTCATAGTCAACGGTAAGTCTACATACTTCAGTACAAGTAGGCTGTGAATTGTACTGCACCGTTTCTTTCTCAAATAGGATTCATCTCAGGAATTATCAAAATAAGTGTGAACTTGTTATAGCCATGGTATACATGTTGGATTTTTGTCTGAATTCACCAAAACTAGAATTGTGGCTCCGCCTTTGCCGGTCCCAAACCCGGATGAAAAAGAAGGATGGGAGCAGTAACAAGCTCACTAAAAAACCTAGGCTCAGCTGGCCCGGCTGATAGTACCCTGTAAGGGCTCCAGGGATACAGGATGAGCAGTGTTTGTACTCCATGTTAGGAGCGGCTGCACATGGCGTCTGTTCCTCATGTCAGAGGCGGCCATTTCTTTTGGAGCTAAGTCGGCCTGTCACTGAGTAGTGCTCCCAGTCTTGATGACAAAGGCAGACGCATTCTACTTCACCCAATCATGATGGTTGTCAAGCTTGACACCCTAATGTAGAGATGAGAAAGAATAAGAAGAAGACTTGTAAAGCTTTTTTTTTACTAGGGTGATGAACAAATGCCGCCATTTTGATGCATAGTTGAAAGGAGAGGTGCCTCTTATTGTACATCATCCTCCCTCAACTTTATATAGTTATTGAAATATACAAGTATCAGAGTCATAATCAACAATCAATCAATTCTGTCACCGTTTCCTTTGTGAATGGAATAAATACCCAAATATGGCCGTTTCTTATAACCATTGGTGGTTCAGTGGTAGAATGCTCACCTGCCACGCTGGCGGCCCAGGTTCGATTCCCGGCCGATGCATTTTTTTTTTTTACAATTTTTAAAACTCATTTATATTATTAATTTTGAAACAACTAAATGGATTGCAAAAAAAATAATTAAATCAAATACCCAAACACTAATATAATACAATTTTTGCCATTACACACTTTTTTCTGTAGTTTATGTGTTTCTTCTGTATTGCTATTCTATGGCACTTCTACTATTTATTAT